TGAGCTTGTTAATGGGGCATTAAAGAAAATTTAAGGAAAAGAGGAAGCCCGTTATGAGCGTGTCTGTCCATAAAACCTTAATGAAAATGGGGGCAGGGGGAGGTGAAGAGGGTTATGGACTGCACTCTGCTCTCAGAGTGTACATCTAAACGATACAGTGCTTTCCACAGTGCTTATTCCAGGTGGGGGGGCATAGGGGGCGGTATGTCATTTCTGCCCTGTGGGGGTAATCTGTCTTGATTGCAAAGCTTTGGCTGTAGTTTGTGTATTTAATGCGACGTCCGAGCTGCCAATTGATGTCAAACAGCATCTTTATCTTTGCTTAAGTATGGAGGGCTGGCAGAAGATTCTGCCTTTTGTCAGGAGAGCGCAGGAGACCTTCCAGAACCTTCTTGACCTCTGGAGCTGTGTGCAGGTGGAGCAATGAGCAATGCAGTGCCCTCCTTCAATGCTCGGTTCACGCAGTGAGTTCATGGGTGTGTGAGGCGGTCGCTGTGTCACCGGGTCGTCATCCCGTAGCCACGGGATGTTAACTCTGGGACCATCCGTGTTCCTGTGTGGAGCTCGTCGGCCCTCTTCACCCAAGTGCCGCTTATCCGATGTGAAATCCCTCCCACTTTAAAGTCTCACTTCAGGCCTGTGATGCAGTGTCCCCCACATAAGCACCTGTGCCGGCCCAAAAAGAACCACCTGAGGATGCTAAAAAAGAATGAAGCACAGTGTGCACTGTGTTTGCTGTAGCCAGCCCCTGCCCCACCGCTAGACAGGTTTTACTCACGCCGCTGCCCCCCACCCATTGCCCCTGTGAAAATCTTGTGCTAGGCCATCAGCTTTTATCTTATTCTAAGCCCCCCCTCCCCTCGGGTCTTACCACCCCCACCTGAAATGATAATACTTCTACCCTTTATAAGTGTTAGGTATGGGTACTCACTGTGGTGCGGTGCCGGGGGTGGGCGGGGGGAGCAGACTGGGTGGTGTGTCTTCATCCATGGCTTCTCCTGCTTTATGGTCTTAATTAGGCAGCACATCTGCCACAATGATACTGGGTCGACCCGGCATAGACGGTGATGAATGGAGTCCCACCTCCCCCCACTCTGTGCCAGGCCGTCACACGGTTTCCCCCTAATAAACAACCCTCTGGAGTTCCCCTCGTTCACCTCCGTCTGCCTCCCCCCCCCCCCCGGGTGGATGCCGCTAATCACCCTGCCGGCAGAATAGCGTTCTTCCTGCCACTGCTGTCACTGCAGTAACCCCGTGGATGGTGGATGATTCACTTCCCGGGCACCTCGTAATCTCCAGCCTTCCCACGCAGGACATTAACAGATGAGTTAATAAAGGAACCGGAAACGGCCATGATGAGCCACGATACCACTCTGGCGTACCTGTCCCGTCTGCTGCGTGACACTGGGGCAATTTTCGCACCCCAAGCACCTGGTGAGGATTCTCATCCTCAAAAGACCTCGACCTGTTGTGATTTTTTTTGTTGTTTTTCCTCATATACTTCAGTTAGACATTTCGACCTGTGAATACTTTAACCGTGAAGAACACGCGCATTGCGTACGAGCCAAAAAAAATTGTGCTTTGCACAATCCACTCATGATTATCTTTTCATTAAATGTTTTTCTTTTTTTTGATTATTCCATAAAAGAAAGGAAACCATGTGGCAAAAAAACACACCACTGCAAAACAAGCGAGTGGGAATCCTGAGATGCTGAGTCATCAGTGGCTCCGGCAGCATGCATGTACCAGGCGGGATTCTGGGAGTCAGCCGTGGGCGAGGGCCCCAGCTCACATGCTGCATCTGCGTAGCCTGGATGCCAGATCTTGGCTCGGACCTGCCCTCTTTGGATGTCAGACCTGCCCTCTTTGGATGTCATACCTACCCTCTTTGGATGTCAGACCTACCCTCTTTGGATGTCAGACCTACCCTCTTTGGATGTCAGACCTGCCCTCTTTGGATGTCAGACCTGCCCTCTTTGGATGTCAGACCTGCCCTCTTTGGATGTCAGACCTACCCTCTTTGAATGTCAGACCTGCCCTCTTTGGATGTCAGACCTGCCCTCTTTGGATGTCAGACCTACCCTCTTTGGATGTCAGACCT